TATCTCTCTTCTTCTTATCTAAGTTAATTAGATTCCCCTTCTTATCTTCTTCAGAATCTAAGTTAATTAGCTTTTAAGAGAAACTAATCACCTGTTAAGATTCTTCTTCTTATATAATATAATTTCTGAGATCCTGTATATCCTGCTAATTCTTATCACATACAAAGTAATAAACTACCTGATCCGGCTATTTATAATTAACACATACTTCCTTAAATACACCTGGAACATAGTAATATTCAGGAAATATATATATACCTAAATATCTGTGGCAGCTAGTACAGGGCACAGGTAATATATATTTACATAATTATATAAGAATAGCATAAATATGCGAAGGACATTATTCCTTAATTTAATATAGAGTAATCTTATTATAATTAAAAGCTATATCCTGTCCTGGAAGGCCGAGAAGCTAATATCTAGTATATATATATACATACCAGCCCAGAAGATCATAGTTCCCTGAAGAAAGAATAGAATTATTACTAATAATAAGGCAAGTGTATATATAACAAAACTATATCTCTATAGACATGACTAGGAAGAGAAGGTATTAGAGAACAAGCTTATTAAAATAATAACTATTATATAAAAATCATAGATTAGTAGTATTTTTTAAAGCTATACAAACTTACTAAGCTGTTAAACTTAAAAAAAGTAATAAGAAAGATACTTAAAGTCTTATTAGATATATACACAGCCATAATAATAATAGTAGTAATAGTAATAGTAATAGGGGTGATGATAAAAGTAAGATTAAATAAGAAGAAAAAAATAAAGAGAAAATAAGCTTTATCTCACTACTAATACTATTATTAATACTAGTAAGGTAGATAACTAAGCAAGCTAAATACAGAATATATTATATACTAAATATTATTAAATTCTAGTTTATATTCTTTAATTCTCTTTTTATTCTTTATATCTAATATATGAGTCTTTCTAGTATAATAAGGATTAACATAATTAGAAGATACTAAGAGTACTTAATATTACTTAGAACTAGCCTGTATAATAGGAGAATAGATAAAAGAAGCTTTAAATAATCTATCTAGTATATAATTCTAAGATTCCTACTTAATCTTTTTTTTTTTTATAAATTCTCTCTTAATTAGCTAAAGAGATATAAGAAACTTCTTAATTACTAGCTCTAACTTAATTTTAATATCTTTATATAATAGACTCTGATACTTAATAATTAAATAGATTATATATTTCTTTATAGCCCTATTCTTAATAGATTCAAATTATTATCTAAGAAGATCCTTTATAACTTGATAACTCTATATATTTTAAGCTAGATATACTAGATATTACTTCCTGATATTAGTAGCCAGGCAAAATATATTATTTAATTAGTATATATATCTTTAGCTAATAGAAAAAAGTTTATTATTAATAAAATCTTATAAGAACTTAATTATATATAATTTAATCCTAGTTTTAACTTACTCTATCTTTATTAGTATATATACATATAATAAAATAAGAAATATATCTAGTTCTTATAAAGTATCTTTACTACCCTCTTTATCTTAGGACATTAAAAGATAGAAATATACTTATATTATATATATTACTGACTAGGTGATAGGAATCCATAGAAGTTATTTATATATAAATCCTACTTAAGATTCTCTTCAGATAGGAGGATCTTTAGTATATAAAAAGCTTAAAAAATATTAAAAAATTTATATTACAGACTGGGTACATAATATAAGAGAAGAGAAATTAGTTAAATTAATTATTAAAGAAGATATACTACTATAATTAGTATAATATATAATAATAGAATAATATATACCAGTTATTCCACAGTAGAATATCTAAGATTAAGAGAATATATTAATACTATATAGAAAAGAAGCTATTAAGAAGAGAGATAGCTCTATTAGTAGTATTATATATATAAAAATCAGCTAATTAATTAAGAATAAGTAAATAAATAATAATTATATAAGATCATACTGCTTATAGCTCCTAATTTTATATACTAATTAATCATGTAGATAATAAAAGAAGTAGCTTAATATAGTGTTTTATATATACTATAATAATATAATAAAGCTGCAGATAGATTATATAAAAAAAGACTATCTTATTAGCTAGTAAAATAGAAAAAAAATAATTAGAGTTAAATCCAAGTCCCTGAAGTACTATATAACAAAATTAAAGAATAAATAAAGAAAGATACTTATCTAGATCTAAAAATAATAAGAGATTAGTATAGATTTTAAAGAAAAAGAATAAAGAAAGAATTATACTAAATTCCTGTATATCTCTCTAAAGCTATTATAAAGTAGAATTATTAATTAATATCTTATAATCTTAAATCTTATCTATAAGATAGTAGTAAAGTATATATAACTTGCCTAGAACTAAATTAGAATATTTAAATTAACATCTTATTTAATAAATATTCTATATTTATATATATTAATATATCTTTATATAAATAAGAGGCAAGAAAATAGCATACAAAGTAATCTAATCAGAAAGAGATTCTTTAGTAAAGATATCTTTATTCTTTAAAGAAGAAAAATAGACCTAATAATATTAGTACTAAGCTTGTATAATAGACTGGGACACTTACTCACTACTTAAATAAAGCTATTTTAGATAGCTGCTCCTATCAAGTCTTAATTCTTTAATTCTTTATACTCTAGCTAGAGATCTAGTAATTAGAGACTTAGATAGCTAGTTTCTATATATATCAAAGCTTAAGATAAGTAGCTTTAAAAAGTACTATCTCTAAGCCATGATCTAAGCAAACTCTTGATAATTATATCTATATAGCTTGAACTATATCCAGATACTAATATATAACACTGACTACTATATATATAATAATCCTATAATAGAACTATATAATATACCAAGAGTATGTATTAATCCTAGCATAGATTTTAATCCTGTATAGCTTTAATTTAAAATAATTATTTATTAACTAAATCTAATTAGGTCCAGGTACATAGTATTCTTTATATTTTTATTATAAATTATATATCTGGTATTAAATAGCATCAGGGAAAACAGTCCTATAATAAGAAAAAAGCTAATTACTAGCTTCTATTAGTAGCTGTACAGAGAAGATAAAGAGTCTTATATTATTTAATAATTAAGTCTTAATTATAAGTATACTAGTAAAGAATCTCTTTTCTATAGTCTTAAATCACTTCTTTTTTAACTTCTTATACAAGAAACTACAGCACCTACTAGACTTAAAGTTATAAATAAAGAGGATTTTTAGTATATTAATAAAGATTAAGTAATTCTTATACATAGTATAGTATACAGCTCTAAATTAAAAATTCTTCTTTTTAAAATATAGATAAAAGCTTTTTATCTTCTAATCTAACTTAAAAAAAGAGAACATATATTCAGGCATGTAGGAGAGAATCAGAATAAGCTATATAATCTTACTTATATATATCCTAATCTTTAAGATAGCTTTCAAGTATATGCTTACTAATAATAATTTTATATCTTTTCTTAAGAGAAATATAAATAGAATTAATAGAAGTATAAGAAAAATAAAGAGAAAGAATATAATTCTTATACAGCTCAAGATTAACTTGTCTATATTCACCAGGCATGATAATTAGTAAAAGAAAATAAAAAAGATAAAGTAAATTTCTTACCTTTAAATCTTCTGATTTATTTATATAAATTAAGCTAGTAGAGTCATATAGCTTCAATTTTAATTAATTAGGAAGGCGGTTAATGTAGCGGTCAACTAACTTAGTGAAATTTCTAATTATTACAGAGTGGCCGCAATGGCTTGCCGTACTTATCTACTACAGTGACATGTCCAAGCATCATCCTTCATTCCTCTATACCATACTATGTATTCCTATTGCCTTTCTAAAATGTCCGTAAATGCCAAGGACAGTAATCCAGGAGCGTCCCACCACCACATACATACAATATTGGATCCAAGTGTACCTTTCTAAATATTGTTCGCAATAATAACTATGACTATCCCAGTCAAGGTTCTCTAATTGCTGTAGTTGCGGGGAATAACCACTGTGGCAACGTTCTGATCGCTTAGAGACCAGGTAAGGGGATCTGTCCCCAAAAAAGAATCAAAAACCAAAATTCAAAAAATAATAAAAGTAGGGAAGGAAGGAAAGAAGTAAGAAAAGAAAAGCAGGGTGGAGCGTATGGTTCCTGCCGCGAGAAGGGTCCCCAGGTTCGTTGACCAAGTACACAGCAACCGCTGGAGGGGAGGCTGATCGACAGTGTGATCGTCCTAATAGAGTAGTAGTACTCCTAGGATGCACATCTCTTAGGACCTCACCTAGTAGAATGAACCATTGAACATGTTGATTTACGAGCGACCTCGCCCGATGTAGCCAGGAGGTGTTTGCGTCGGCCCGAACAACCCTGGCTTCCTGCCTGAGATTGCTTGGCTAGCCTGTGTTAGCATCCAGGACGATCCTATATTGGAAAATGGCAGATTTAGAGGGGAATTAATTATGTTAAATCTTCTAGATTCTCTTAAAATCTAGGCAGGATATCAAGATATTTATATGTAGGAGATTTTCAATAAAACCAGTCCAATCAAAGCAAGGGCTCGATTATAGCAAACAACTCAGGGCGACTATGGCGGTGACAGCTGGCAGAATGCCCTTGATTTCCCATATCCTATTAGTATCTTGGCTTTGTACATGGAAGAATTGTGCTGCAAACTTGACCAGCCGCGCTCTTCTCCTGATTGTACATAACAAGTCGATCTTGGACACCTCATCCCCCCCTTCCAGAACGGATCACTCGAGTGTGATGCACATCATAAACGCAAAGTCAACCCATGGCTATGACGATGGAATTCCCTCTCATACTCTGTCTAGTTTCGCTGCTCCCAGTTGTGTGTGGAGGAATCGATGCGCACAAATACTTCGGCAATTCGTCTTCAAACACCGGGATCAACTTGGTCCAAACCGTGAGGGACCAACAGGTGATCTCCTGGAAGACGACTTTGGATATATAACGTCTCCATGTGGCAGCAAAGCCTAGTGCAGCAGTCTGCGGCTAGCCAGTACAATGTGTATTGTATGTTTCCACTAGAATCAATCACACAACCAAAGAGAGCGATATCTCAACCGATTCCAGCCAAATTACATCGGGGGCCTAAATCCACCGAGTTCACCTGGACCGTACAACTATACGAGTTCGATCTCGATTACTCCAACGTGTTCTTCTTCTGGATAAACTCCGACACACCCGAGGGATTCGTCTCTTCTTTCCTCAATATTACGAAACCGGCGAGCCCCTCGACATCACATTCGACAACAGCATCAGTGTCCATACCCACAGACTCTACTAACTTAGTGCCGTTGAATGACCCCCCTGTCTCTGATACTGCCTTGAATTCCGCTTCGGACTCCGGAATCTCGACTACAGCGAAGATCGCACTAGGGGTGGGGATGGAATCGGGGTGCCGGTGTTAGCGGCGTTGGGGCCTCTTGTGTGGCTCAAATCCTGTCCACCCCACGTCCTTCCTGAGGAAGCGCCACAGATATGCCTGTATACCCTGAACTGAGCATATGACAACCAAAATGTGTTTCTCGTCATTCGCTGATGGACATGCCAGGGACAGACTCCGCCAGTAAAATACATGAATTACTCACACAGAGACACTATTGACATACAATAATAAGTTCCACCGACAAATGACGTCTTTCTATCAATGGCCAACTGTCTCTCGCTAGCAATGGTTAGCTGGCTTCATCTGGATGGTGTTGCACCGACAATAGAGTAATAAGAATTATCGCGACCGCCAAAACAGTTATGACATGATTATTTAGCCGAGTGGTATTTCTTCCCTTTTTTTTTACGGATAGAGTCAATACCTGTGAATTTATCGAAGGAATGACATATTAAAATACCAGGTCTACATAATACAAAATGATTTGTCCTTCTATTACTTCTTAAAGCCTTGTCAAAATATTAGGTAACACCCAGCAAGCGATCCATCATCACTAGCAAGTCACCCCATCTGCGCCCTACCCCAACAGCTATCATGATATACATTTCGCCTTCAGACGTCCTGAAATCACCATATGAGCATTCTGTTAGCCAGTGTTTATAGGGATCTTCATGTAATTTTGGAGTAAGATACCACATCATAGAAGATCACTTGACAACAGCCGTATACTGCACGTTCTGACACCGTAGTACCACTGGGCCAAAAGATCACATTGACCAGACACCACGGTCTGACCCTCCCAAATCACTATATATATCCGAGTCATGACACCATGAGACTTTGGTTCATGGGTGAGTGAGGGCGGGGCTGAAAGTTGACAAGTCTCAAGTGTGATGTATATTTCGCATGGTTCAAGAATTCCACATTTTTATACTTTGTTGCTCGTGTCTTTGTTCCAGTTCAACTGAGCATGTATACCATATGGTATGGAATCTATTTAGACCACCATGAATCCTTGACCATTAATAAGCAATCTATTTATATGACCAAAATTCGACCCCTGCCCAGTTCTAACTCTATTTAGTTGTATTTCAAGCTTACTATTGTTTGGTTAGAATAAGTGCTTCTTATTATAATCACTCAGAGCTAGATCTACACACCATTGACTAATTATTATGTTGTTTTCACCATACCAGGACCAGGGCAGAATCCAGTATAAGAGTTGGGTGTCTCATTCTTCTCTTCCTCCCCGTCCCTATTCCACTTCCAGCGCCCTAACTCTCGATCGTACCCTTTTTTCTCTCTTCTTCTGGTCTTTGAATATACAAGGCACATCGTTCACTCGTGCTTAGCCGAGAAGAATATCTTTGGACCATCACAGAACAAATAGAACAGTCTGTCCGAATTGGGGATCTCCCCAAACTGCAGACTCAACTGCCCAGGTGGGAGACGGAGGTCGCTGATGAACGTGTAACACAGAAATATTATCTCTGGATCGTTTTATATTAGGGTCACGCTCTACCATACTCTTATTTCATTCCATCCCTCCTTCTGGTCTTCATCCATTTCCAGTTTAGTTTCTTGTTTTGGGAGAGCTCTTTTACCGATTGTCTAGGTTATCAGAATATAACCACAGTGATCATTTCCTGTAAATACAGCACCCAAAGAAAGAATCTTAATCAAGCTATGAGAGCGAGCTAAGTGGCTAACGTGGAATACATCGTAGGTAAGCGAAGAGTGCCTATTACGGCTATCATTGCAAAGAAGGCTTTGAATGCCAACGCCTTTAATGTGCTCGAGATATTTCTTGATCATAGACAGAACATCAACAACCCCACCCAGGAGAATCTATGCCCAATGCTAGATAGGATGTATTATCCTGGATGAGAAACAACGCATAAATGTTATTAATAGTAGGATAGATGGGTGGCTTATGAGAGGATGGAAGTGCTCTAGTGTCCTGAGCACAGAGCCAAACTGAATACCAGAAATAACAAGAAGTACCAAGATGTGCCGTGCCAAGCTGGTCATTATGCCCCAGTGTCGACATTCCAGTCCCTTGCCACTTAGGGCGCCAAGTTCCCTTTTAGCAATGCGTTTCAACCGGCTACTGAAGGTAGATTAGGGGTCAGGTTGGAAGCTCTAAAATAGCTATTAGATGGGGCGGGCTTCCCTACCAACCAGAGCGGGTTTGGGTGGGATTCAGTTGAGTTTAGTAGTTGGCGGAAATAGATTAGGAACGGCATTGTACTATGTGATCCTTGATAAATCCTCCGAACGTGTACGGTGTTTTCTGGAGCGAGGCATTGATATCAATATACAGGACACACACGGCCGTACAAGCGAGACTACGCTGAAGCACAGGGGAGTTAAGAGGTCACTGTGATTCAAGATGGTTGGGGAAAGTAACTATCAGAATCAAGAGAATTTTAGTCAACAAATTGATATTAGGTGAGCATGGTAGTCATAATATGAATGTGGCCCTTGTAACCCATATCCTTGTGAAAACAATTCTTTTGACCAATTCGAGAAAATCTAGTAGAATATTGTTATTCCAAATTTCCGGTAACTTAGGGTAATGAAGGTGATGCCAGGTTCCTGTGACTGTCTGCCTGGATCCTTCACTGGGAGAAAGCCATTTGATGCCTCGTCAGGCTAGTTAGCCGCTCAAAACTCTCCAAATTCGTTGACTAACAGACCCTCGGGTTCGATATACTTCACCCTCTAGGACATATTGCCAAGCTCATCCTTGATGACAGTCTCCAGTTGCTGGAGGAACTATTGCCCCGAATATTCATCTGGGTCATGTAGTCTGACATGTCCATAGGTCAATGCTCTGATGCCTGTCAGGGCATCCTTCCTTGTGGTCATTAATCATGTCGGGCATATTGATATTGGCCCGAGAAATGCCGAGGTCGTTGCTAGAGTAGTATCCGATGATGGCGTCCTGACCGCTTGCAATTACACAACTAATGCACCCTACAAAGTCAGGTCTGCTGACCGTTGCTTTCTCCGCCCCAAAAGCCATGAGCTTCTAATCATCCTCCTAGACACGCGGGCTCGCGCTGGGCTCCAAGAGGTACTGTTCATACTAGTGGTTGACGGCGTGCTTGACAATGACACATTTGTCCAGGAAGATAAATTTTAATAAAAAAAAAAAAAAGGCGGAGCAACTGGGTTCTGTTGTCCACAGGGGATGCGCATGCCTGAATACCAAACACTACGCCAAAAGGTTCATAACGAAAATTTCGCTTCAACAGTTGGTTGACTTACACCTCTTTGTTAACTCCTGGCCCTGTTTAATATGTGATTGACAAAGTTGTGGGTAGTTGAGTACTACCCAGGGCAGCGTCTCCTAAAAAAAAAAAAAAAAAACATTCTACCATTGATAGCAACACAAAATTGTCGTTGTAAGAGCTGTCATGATACAGACTTCTCGATGTATCTAATATAGGTAAGCTGTGCGATCATCATCACGCTAGGTGAGATCGGCACGGAGAGAAGAAAACTCCTTTCTGGATTTGACTCCGCTGTGATGAAATCGTATGACTTAATTGGCTTGCTGTGCCGAACCCCCTTGTCTCTACCTATGATGGACCCATCGCTCTAGGCTAATTTTGCAGGGCGTATTCACATTTACCTGTTTAGACAGTTGGGCTGTGACTAACCAACAAGTTAACTTGGTAACTTAGTTAACCAGCAGAAGATATGTAAGCAGAGGAGTGGCACTTATAATCTCCTCATAACCTCCTGATTCTTATTAGTATTGGAATGATTTCACATATTGCCCCCTTTTCCTTTTGTATTCATTGTTCCCGGCTATTCGGACCCTTTCCTTGAAATGCTGTACACTTATACCGCTGCCGCATCACTGCTTGTGATGCTTGGTACACAACCAGGAATCATTTTAGCTCAAGATGCTGCGGGGTGGTACAAGGCTCACCCAGGCATGGCGCGTATCAACCAGGTGAACCAAGAGACGCATCAAATCATCGACGAATTTGGACGCACACGTTTCTTCCACGGAACTAATGCCGTGAAGAAGGAGCCGCCATGGCACCTGCCCTTGGAGTGGGTACCTGGAGTAACGTCATTTGGCGAGCAAGATGTCCAAACTCTGCACGACTTGGGTCTAAACATCGTGCGGTTGGGCCACAGCTGGGCTGGTGCAGAACCTGTGCGTGGGCAATATAACGAAACGTTTCTGGCTATCATGAAGAAGCAGACCAAGATGGCCGAGGACCATGGCCTCTATGTTTTGGTGGATGTGCACCAGGACTGCCTGACGCGGCAGTTTTGTGGCAATGGTGCGCCTGATGTGAGTCAATTCAGGGACATGGTAGCAAATCGCTGATACTGACACGGCTTTGCAGTGGTTTGTTGAGGAAGACTGGGTATCAAATGGAAAGATGTATCCATTTCCCCTCAAGCCAACACCATTTCCGGTAGATGACCGGGGCTTCCCATCGCCACAGTCGCTTTGCGACACCGTCGACTGGGCGTTAAGCTACACGTCAGTGGCGCTTGGAAATGCATTTGGGCGGCTTTACAACAATTACGACGGTTTAGGAGATGCATTCGCAGCGTACTGGAAACAGCTGGCTTCCGAGTACGCCAAAACACCGAACGTGGTCGGATATAACCTGCTAAACGAGCCGTGGGTGGGCGACACATGGGCTGATCCAACACTGCTGGTGCCAGGTGTTGCTGACCACAAGGTCCTGGAAGACCTCTGGAACCGGGCGACCAGGCAGATCCGTACCGTTGATAATGACACGCTGATCTGGTTCGAAGGCGCCACGCTAGATGTTCTGTCCGGTTTCAACAACGTCCCACTTGGAGATGGCTCTAAGTCAGTACACTCGTTCCACTACTACAGCCCACCGCAGCTTGGCCCTATTTCCACCACGCTCAACAACCGCCGCAAGGACAACGAGCGTCTTAGGACCGCCGGTGTACTGACGGAACTCACGTTCTGGATGGGCGATGATAAGGAGATGCAAGATCTAGCAGATGCCATGTCGGCGACCGACGCAAACATGGTTTCCTGGATTGGCTGGGCGTACGACAATTTGTACAATGGCACATCAGATAAGCCTTACCCTGAGCTGGCGAGACACTACAGCCGTGCGTACCCGGCCGCTGTCGCCGGGACTCCCAAGAGCTTCGACTTTTCCGAGAGCTCGGGCACCTTCAAGTTGCAATTCGTGTCTGATCCAAACATCAAGGCGCCTACTGAGATCATCTTACCTCGATCCACGTTCCCCAATGGCTATAGAGTCGAGGTTTCGCCTGATGACAGCTTGCTACAGTACGCACCAAACGAGCGTACTCTGGCCTTGTTCACATCTACTAGCATCAAGAAGGCAACTGACATCTCTGTCACGATCTCTCGTCAATAACTCCAGTCATCATTCAGATGCGATTATCAATACGCATTTTGTCTTCGATAGGCTGGATAAGTCCTGCGGTACTGGTGCCACAGTACTAGTGGCAATCCAACTTCTGAATATAATATCCTTAATTTGCCCTATTGAAGGCCATAGTCAAAAATGCGATGATTCGTGAATACAAAGTTATTTTATCCAGGTATTTGTTAGCCAAAGAGTGTCTTGTTAACTTATCCGGGTTAGTATACCTTCTACCGTCAGCCCTATACCTGGCAGTCCTCGCGCTGTTGTGCAGTCGGGGTCAGCCAGAAGAATAAAAGTAGTTTCAATGGAAGTCATAGAATAGTAGACAGGTGAGGATACGGCGCGCGCTCCCCAAAGACATTATGAAGATGTAATTATCCCTAATGAGAGAGTTGCCTGCAGTGATCCTGAAGCAGTAGCAATCTGCAAATAGAAACCTTATACACTGCGAAAGCCCCGTTCGTCAATATATATGTGATATACCATGAGTTTCTAAATGTTATAACTATATCAGACCCTGCCATCACCACCTTCGGCCAGCTCCAGGAGGACTAGTGCTGCTAGCCTAGCTATCAATGTCAAGCCCAAACCAAGGGTTTAGAAATAGTTCGCTTCTATATGCCAGTTGAACTTAGATGGCTTAGGGTATCCACCGTCCCGTTGAGTACAGCCCTCCTTGATTCACACCTATTATGTATCAAGATTAAATAATTACATATTGATTAATGAATCGATATGTTCTAATACAGACTCTAAAGAGATACGATGAATGTATTCATGTATGTTCAACCGCAACAAAGATTGTTCGTTAGGACTTAGCTATCAGGGGTACATGAGAATGTGCTTTTTCATATCCTCACGACGCAGGAGGTCGACATCCGGAAAGATCACATACTGGGAAGCTAACCGGACTTCTGGATCCCGCACCGATAAAAACCTTCGCAATCGATTAACCAAGTCGGGAAAATTGCTCTTCACACTCCGTAAACTGCGCTTTATGCCAGCCAGAAGCCCAAGTAACCGACGAAACCCATTCCGCCAAGCTAGTGCGTGGCCGCACTCAGCGAAGTCCCGGTGACATCCCAGGCTGGTACATGTGCTGCCTGCGTGTCGATGGTAAAGAATACCCGGTGGTTGGGACTTAGCTGAAGCGTGAATTGTGAGCCAACAAAGGTAGATCCCACGAGAGAGTCCGACCTGAAATCCTCGGCAGTGACCGTCTCTCTGGAGGAGATCCGGGCGGACACGATATCAGAAGATGACCCGTCATTACTGGAAGACTGGCCGGCAGCTTGCGAGATAATCGGTTGGCTTGGAGAAGCGCTTGCCTGCTGTCGTCGAAGGTTCTCTATGGGCAATCCCGCCAGATAGCCGGCGGTCGTGGCCAGGGGTTGTTGCGTCTGGGAGCCCTTCTTGTTGCTGTTCACACGAGACGTAACGAGATTTCCCAAGGCTTCAGAGAACTGAGTCCAGGGCGCGGTAATGGCGCTTGTGGTAACCTCCAAAGCGATTGCCTGCTTGATCTTCGCCGTTCCGCTTGCCAGCGCCGAAGGCAATGGTTTAAGGGCCTTGCCCAAAACGCCGCCAGTGGCTCCACCAACTGCTCCATAGAAAGCATCGGAGGCTATGCTTTTCAGCGTGGGAGTTGTCCCTGTCGCCAGGTCGTAGGCAGCCCCGACGCCTACATTCACGGCGACCCCAATTGCTACGCCGGCAACAAATCCAACCCCTCCGGTGAAGACGGCAATTCCAATGGCAACGGTTACGCTCGCCAGGAACTGAAAGAATCCTCGGAGGCTCCAGTGGCCGCTCGGGTCGGTGCGATTGACTGGGTCCGCCAGGCAGTAGGCGTACGGGTTGAGTTCGCCCGAGGTAAAGGGGGTCCAGGCGTCCGGCTGCAGGAAAATCTTCAGACTCGGGTTGTACACACGATAGCCGTTCCCCAGGTGGTACCACCCGGTGATCGGGTCTCGCCATTGTCCGTTGAAGCCGATAGTTGCTCCGTCGACGCTGACGCCATAGGGCGTGTACGCTTGGTCGTGAACCCGTTCTGTATCCCGCGTATCCAGCCAGGTGCCAACCGAGTGGCTGGCATCGGACGCCCACAGTTGGGTGAACACCTCAGTCCCCTGCTGCTGGACTTCCCCCCAGTATATCCCACCGTTTGAAACAAAGCTAGTCTGGTGGTCCCCCTTGGTTACGGCGATCAACGAGTCCCCCCGGTAAGAAAATTCGGTGTCCGGGTCATCTGGGATTGATTGACGGACAAGCCGGTCTGTTGCATCGTACCCATACTCGCAGAGAAGTTGGTTCTGGCTATCATAAACTGCGGACAGCAAATTCGACGCATTGTAGACCAGCGTCCGCCCGTGCTCGTCGCGCGTTATACACCCGTTCTCGTCATACTCGAGATTGACAACCGCCACTTCATGGGAGTGGGTGTTAGAGATGCTGATAAGCTGTGTCGGATCTTGAGCACTGTACGTGTAGGCCTGGGTGTCCTCACTGCCATCCGCAAACGTGGTCTGGATCTGGGTGAACCCATCATAGTCGTTGAGCGTGAAGCGCTGACGGCGAAGGGCGCGGCCTTGCTCGTCCACCGGGGGCTGTGTACCCTGGCACTGGTAGTCCACTAATCGGCTTAAATTGTCATACTCAAAAGTTTCCTGTCGCACCAGAGTTCCGGTGCCATCGCTTCGATCGCGTGCGTCGACGAGCCCCGTTGCCCCGTATGATTGGGTGGACTGGAATAAGAGCGTCGCCCCCTTCCAAACCTTTCGCTGAATCTCGCGGCCGAACTCGTCGTACCCGATATTGGTCGTCAGGGCCACACCCTGTTCGCTATCCTCGGCCACGGTCGTGATAACGCGGTCTGCCTGATCATAACTGAATCTAGCTTCAAGCGCTCCGACGCTAATCTCCTGCAGCCGGCCATACTCATCGTACTGCATCGCGTGCTGTTTCTCGTGGACATCGGTGTACTCTTGTAGCTTGCCTGCCTGTGAGTACACGTACTCCAACGCACGAGTCCCATCAGCGGTCTGTATAGTCTCCCCAGACAGCAGAGTGGATGGGTAATAAGTGAGGCTGGCCGCGGCGAGCGAACCCTCCAGGCGCAAGAGATCGCCGGTTTGCTTGTCGTGTTGGTACGAGTCGGCACCATCTCTGGTGACCCTACCTGTCAATGCATAGTCCAATGCCGGCTCATACGTGCGCTTGGAGCGCTCTCCTTTCGGAGTGGTGATCTGGGTAGGGACGGGGGCGACGCCCTGATATGTATTGCTCGTGGTGCGGCCGCCGACAGTGGTGTGTAGCGGCCTCTCCAATCCATCGAAGGACTGAACACTGAAGCCTGAGGAGCCCTGAAGATTGATAGCCACAGGCAAAGCCGTGGTGCTCTCGGCAGCGTACTGGGTAATGATAGCGTGGCCGTCGGGCCATGTTGTCTTGACCACGCGATCGAAGCTATCGTAGCTATACTGCGTCGTACGGCCCAAGCCATCCGTAACCTGGCAGCGGCGTCCTAGTCCATCATAAGAATATTCTATGGTACCCTCGACGGTTCCGTTGCGCCGCACCAGAGCCTCAGATGTCGGAGTTTGAAACATGTTGTGCTGGATCCGAGTCTGGCCTTCACCCTCATTCCCAACGGTCTGGGTTAAGGCAATAGGGTCTGTCACGGAGAGTTGCACCGCTCCGCCGTTCTTTGTGACTTTATAGACCTCGCCCCAGTCATCGTACTCGAGGGAGCGAGTTGTACGTAGCTCTTTGGGCGCTCCGCTGGCGCGGAGCCAGTCGATGTTTACCTCTTCGGTGCATTGATCGAGGGCGTTATACTGGCGCTCCTGAACAACGCGGAATGTACCGGTGTACGTCTGATATTGGTCCCAAATGCCATCGTCGTCCTGGGATTCCACCCGAACTACGCGATCCATGCCATCCGTGAAGTATCGAGTCCGCACCCCCTTGGTGTCGGTCACCGTGACTTGCCACCCGACGGCGTTCTCTAGGACAGCATATTCGTGCTGCTTTTTGGCCTCGAAGGCCGTGCCAAAAGCGGTGACGGTCTCGGTCACCCGACCTATCGCATCGTGCTGATAAGTGGTCTCTGTGCCGGCGCGGTTCTTGGTTGCGAGGGTCAATCCGGACATAAGGGAGGTGGTGGTTTCTTCCTGCGTGGTCTGGCCGTCGAAGCTAGTTGTTGTAATGGTCTCGGTTAATTCCGTCGAGCTCGCGCGATGGTACCTAAATATATCTATTGTCGGATGTTGGTTGAACAAGCGCGAGTCCTGCTGCTGTCGTCGGCCATGATCCGCGGACTCCGGCTGGCTCACGTAGGTGTATTCCGTGGTAGCAAGGGTTTGGCTATCCTCCAGGGTTAGCCGCTTGCCACTAGCCACGAAATAGTCGGTTAGGGCCGCGGTTGCCGTAGGGAGCTCGACGTATGTGTAGCTATGGGCGCGGGTGGGCGTCGAATAGGCACTGGCAGCAGGTATAACGGTCTCCAGCTTGACATAGCGCTGGAATCCGTGCGGATCGGCCGGGCAGAGGACCTGGCCAGAGGCCACCTCGCCGGCAGCAGCATAGTATTCGCGGGTGGTCGTGACACCACTCGGGGGTGTTTCGCTGGTCTCGTTCCCCCAGTCGTCAAAAGTGAATCGGGTTGTCTCGACTCGCGAAGCTCCGGTGGAAGTGTCCCGATAGGTGGTATCTTGGGTCTGAGGAAACTGATATTGGGCCGGCTGGTTCTCAAAGGGGGTATTGCTGCGCGCATAGTACGTGGTGGCCTGTGTGAGCTGATTGACGCCCTTCTGCTGCTGCGTACTGAGCTGCAGATGAAACTTATTGTAAATATGCCTAGTGATAGTTCCACCCACCACCTGCACAGTGGAGGAATACTCATAGTCGGCCGGAGTGAGGTAGAGGTTATCACCATCGCTGGTCCAGTTCCTGCCTCCGCCGTAGCCGAGGAAGTTGTGGTCCGAGTAGCTGTAGGTCGTTTGGATAGCCGGCTGGCCATGGAAGGGTCGCGCCGTATGCGAGATCACGTAGGGGATGGTACTGATTGGCGCACCGCTGGGTAGTCGGAAACCCGCGACCCTGTAGGAAATGGTCTCCGTTGCCCCTGTCGGGCTGGTGACATTGGTCAGGCCAGCCGCCCCATACGTGAACTTCCAGGCCGGCGAGTCCTCAAGCGGCAGGCGCAGCTCCGCCAGTTGGTTATTTCGCTTCACCAACGCAAAGGTCGCAGCCTCGGCGGTCCCCGGCGCTTTTGTAACAGTGACGATCTGCGCGCTGTCATTGTAGACGATCTCGACCAAATCCTGCGAGCCGGCCTGGATCTTGCTGAGTCGGGGCTGGGTGCCCGCAAGCACCCAGGAGAGCTTCAACGAGTGGCCATTGGCGCCGTAGATCTCGGTGGGCACACTAACAGAGGCCCGATTGTTGAAGCTAGAGAGTAATTCCACCTGGCCTGACTTGAGGGTGACGCGGTAGCTTGTGGTGCTCGTCTTCTGGAATATGAAACTCTTGAGCTTCTGGTCCGTCACCACGACAGAGCTGATGCTTTCTCGAACTTTATAATTCTCACCGGTGGACAGAACAAGGGTCCTGGACGGCTGGTCATAGGATGAGAGACCGCCGAAGGACCAGCCCCGTCCGAGGCCGACATCGTCACCTCCCAGGGGATTATAGTGGAGGGAAAGGTTCAATGGGGGGCAGTTGCGAACCCCGGCCGGCACTTCATAGAGAGAAATGGTGCAGTTGTACTGGCCGGTGCGAGGGTCGACGCCTTTCTCGACGTAGGAATTGAAATTGAAGCCCTGGGAATAAATCATTATGGCAGATGAGCAGGTAGTAGAAAGATAGTTCAACTAAAATCAGTGTCTGGGCTGGCCCACGATCTTATACCTCTTCCCCTTCTTCTTAAATTGCTTCCCCTCTTCCCCTGCCTCCTCCCACTATTTCTGCCGAGAGATGTTGTAGATTGGGAATCTTATCCGGTCTGCGCGTGTCTAAACCAAGCTGGGTTGTAAGAGAGTGGCAATGGGCCTGTCGAATACTGACGCTCGAGCAGTTCCAGAGCGTATAAATGAAAGCATGATTTCATTTGGTGATGACATCAAGGATGGAGGGGATCGATTGGCTAGCAGATGGTATCCTCGGATTCAGCTGCGAATCCCTGTTCACCTGCAGGCAAACCCACGGGACCATTATTGGCGTCTACCCAATCTCAGTAGGAGCTACAGCTTGCGTCATGATTCGTTGACAAGGATCGAGAATAGATTGACTACCCCTAAAGAGGGGGAATGAACCGGTTTTCATCAGTTAGTGCCGTGAGCCAAATCTCTCTGCAGTTTCTCCTACAGAAAGCAAGCGACCGGTGGAGAGCTGAACGATCTTCCCATAGCACCGAATCAGCGTTTGCTCGACCTAGATCTACAACATGCAGTGTACAGCTCAGGGCTAATGCATTGCGACATCGCGTAAAGTGTACACCCCCGCTTCAGCCAGCCCATCTTTGCGATTCAGCTCCTTCCTTGCCATCCCCCTCAGCACATCCAAATCGCCACTTTTTCTATGTCAGGCTCGATGTTCGACAGGATATCAAAGGCTTTGCAATGTGCTTGAGCTGCAACATACAGTGTACAGCTTAGGTCTAATGCATTGCGATATCGCATAAAGTGTACACCCCCGCTTCAGCCAGCCCATCTTTGCGATTCAGCTCCTTCCTTGCCACCCCCTCAGCACATCCAAATCGCCACCTTGCTATGTCGAGCTCAATATTCGACAGGATATCAAAGGTTTTGCAATGTGCTTGAGCTCTCAGCTCGCAAGGCAGAGAGGGGAAGAGACTCGATATTACAACGGGAGATGGGGGGGCAGAAGAGGTATATAAGGTCATCCTGGAACCGGTCGAGAAGAAAGCAAATAAACTCTTCAATATTCTGAATACACACCACCGTCATCAAACGATTCTAACTTCTATCATCACATCCACCATGTCAGTATCCTGGGAAGTCACCTCCTTTGCCGTGCAGACTACCACAGTCGATCAGGTAGCCGACCGGCTCTTTGCCAATGGCAATATGCAGGTTCCTGTGGTGGTTACCATCAATGCCATAAATCCGACAACAGGGGCCACCCATCGGCTGACCGATGCCGAGCTCCAGAAGATTCAGTTGATTGACTATCATTCTGGGGCTGTACTCATGGGTACCTGGTTTTATTCTTTGACTCCAAATGACTTCGCGCACACGCTGGCCGGCACAAATGACCCCGTCGAACCCACTTCGGATCCACCTCAATCCATCAGGTTATATGTTTCATCTACCAGAATCGAAAACAGAGTCATTGGCGCACGTATCACTCAACCCAATAACACCGTGGTGACCACCAATAGCACCATCTTCAACTCCTTCGTCACTCTGACGGCCATCCAGCCAGTAATTTATACCACCCACAACATCACCTTGGGAGAAAAGAAGAAAGCTGCCACGGGAAACTGGGTTTCCAGCTTCACGATGAACAATATTTCCACACATTCCGACAAAGACTGGCAGCAGGAGAACTATTTTGTCACATCGAACGTACATCCAATCTTGAAAGCCGATCTACACGACTATAGAACCAGCTCAACCTTGACCAACTCCTTTTCCTTCCAGTTTAACAGGCACGGCCTCAACATCTTCTACTTTTGGAACCCAGGCTTGGAGACTTCGAGACAGGTGGGATTACGGCATGTCATCCAAGTTATCGAACCCGGGCGGATGCCTCCCCTCACGGTCTATACGAGCACGCGAAACGCAGTAGCCACTGTGCAAGTCAATCAGCAACGGAATGCATTTTGCCTCACTCACATGGTCTTCTTCGATAATAGCAACTGGCAGTTGGCGCCCTGGTCCCAAGACGCATGGGTCCGGCTATATGATATATTTGGAAATTACGGCGATTTCTACGTCAGGGTCAGGGAAAACACGGTCGGCACGGATGAGGACGAGACCATAGAATATAGCCTCTATCTTCGAAACAAGAACACAGCGAACTTGACTGAGCCTGTCTTGTTTGATCCCGCGGCCAAGCTGTGAGGGTGTTTAAGAGGCGTTCAGTGCGGATTTAGGGCGGGGAGGAACCAACTCTTGACCGAAGACACCAAACCCACTCGCCGTCTTTTGCAGTTTGGCGTGGTTTTCGACCTATAATCTGAAGTCGTAGAGCTTTCTACCTGTGAACACTAGTCAGGGCTGGAATCGAGGCCTAAAAGTGACTAGTCTACTGGATTTCCTGTTCACTTAGCCAATTTATAAGCGAAAATCATAAAAATAGTTTCTACTTAAATACCTAGTACAAAAGTGTTAAATCAAGCTAATTCTAACTCGTGTTTGTGGATTGGCGATCTGCAATCTAACTCGCACAATTGGGGGGCCTGAAACCACTGCGGGTTCTGATCATTTGCAAACGTCCCCAAGACCCAGCGGGACGGTAGCTAGTAGTGTGGCTGCTTCTGAGGACCAGCGCCGACCGTAGCCGCAACCATCTATTTCGAGGCTACAATACTTACCGACTGTGGAATTGCATACGAGTCAATCTGGAGGGCACCCGAAAAAACGTTACCGAGGTTTTCTGGTCTAATCTCTTATGGGCTGAGAGATAAAATTCCTCCTCCCAATTCCTACGAGATATACTCAATTGATTTTTAATGAAATGTCACCACGCAAGTGAGTGGTCTGGCTGTCATATTGGAAGCACCATGATGCTACCAAACTCTCAGCTCATCATGCACCAGTAACATCATCAGGTACAAATAATAGGTCGCAAATGTCAGATCGCCCGAACCACAACAGGTTCATTTGGCTTGATTTCAGAAAGATCTAGACACAAATTTAAATACATAAAACTTTTAGCATCTTCCTGACATCTTTTTGAGCGACGCTCTGGTATCAATTGTAGATCAGAAGCAATCTGAGCAGTACTTGCTCCTGCTATGATGCATCATACCATGGATCGCAAAGCTGGAACAGAGGTAGAATGACCATGATAGGAATCTAGATCATCCTGCCATGTATAGCCCGAGTGCGACAATATGAGGGTTGAGCATACTCAGGTTGAACGGAGTAACAAAAAGATCGAAGTCCGTCAAAGCAACTGCCATCGTGCCGTTGATGATACCATCATCCTCATATACGAAGCCTTCCGGCTGGAAGGTGTAGCCTGTGTGGTCACCAGTAACAGTTAATGGGGAATAGGTCAAGTTCAACTGCGAACTCCAAGCAACAAATCTCGGCTCGCCAGCGGTCGTATCACTGATATAAGAGTTGTTTGGTCCAACGGCTTTCCCGGGCGCTTCCCACTCCAGGAAAACCTGCTTCCCTGGGAAGGACAGAGGGTCCGATCGGTTATGAGCAATTGCGGCGTCGCAATTAATTCCTACACCACTCGCATGAAGGCATCCCTCGCCGTCAGCAACATCTGAGACTGATGGGTCCGTAATGCGTCTTCCGGTAGACTCGCTGCCGTTATCAGCCGTGTCATTGGGGTTGATCCGGTTGATATTTGGGTTGTTGAGAATGTTTAGGGTCGGGAAGTTCTGCCACGCCAGCCGGGTGGTGTTTTCCGGACAGTAACTAATGTAAGGGGCTAGCATTGTCCAAGCCCAGGACTGGGGCCACCCGTTCTCAAACCAGACATTCATCGGCGACAGCCCGGCCATTTGGCGGAATATCAATTGTTGGCGTGCCTCCGTTGAGATGGACAGGGAGAGTAAGTTGGCAACTTCGCGTGAGTCCAAATGCGAGATAAAGCCCCAGACACCAGACTCTCCAAATCGCGTCACACGTTGGTTGAAATCGAGCCACTCGCGAACCGTTGTGTATGGATAGTTATACACGCACTGCTTTGGCGCAGCTTCGCCAAGCATGTTGCTTAGGAGGGTTGCATGTCCACTTTCCTGGTTCGCCATAAATTCAATCAAAGACCGTGCATCTGGACCCAAACCAGCTTCCTCAAACTCCTCGTCGGTGAAGCGAGCAAGTCCATCATGGAACAGGTCTAACTCAATCCATTCCTGGTAGGTCCCAAGTGCAATAGATTCGAAGTCGAAGTCACTTTCCACCATGTAGCGTGGTAAGGTGCCGTTCGTGCCTAGTCCACCTGCCGGGACATAAGGGGCAGGCATAGGTTCAATAGGTACGCCACGGCTATTGTAATAAGTGGCTGTGGGATTTGGTGGTTTGGGTTCTATTTCCGCTGCCAGAGTTGCAGGTGCTTTCACAGCACCAGTCGTGGTAGGGGTGCCGTCATACGGGCCGTGATACGGCGCGCTGGTGTATCCATTTTCATAAACAATGACTGGATAGCCACCTTCCTGACTGGATATTTCGGTAGAAACTGGTGATGCGTACACACTGGTGCCGAGAAAAACAACAGCAAGGATAAATAAAGCTGGCATATTGTGTTAGACGCTGCAAGTCCGATTGCGTAGGAAGATGAAATATGGTTTCAATGGGACGACTCGCTAGGGTAATTAATACATTGGTTTCTCGGCTACTTGTATACTTTGGACCATAAATTATGCTCTTTCCCCTGTTGCAATAGATCTACATTATTTGTATGTTGACAATGGCATGGTTTGATACTACATCTTGGTGTAACGTCCGCTATAAGCAAAAAATGACAGCATAACCTGATGAGTGATGGCACATCTTGATTACATCTTGATGTAACAGCCGCTAAAAGCTAAAAGCGGAGCCCATACTATGAATAATGTAATTGTTCAAGGGCATGATCCGTCCACGCGGCTCAGGTAACACCAAGAGTACTTGCCGCAAACAGCGAATGCTTCGAATTGCCAAGAATGTCTAATAGTTTAATAGTTAAAAGAGAAGGTCTTAGCAAGAATATGTGATAGCGGTCATCATAGAAACCGCAAGGGCGGGGAGGCGGCTATGGTACAGTCCTAGCCTATCATTTTGGGTCGATCCTTGATCCTTGACCTTGGGGGGCCGGGACTATACCATGCAAACGCCAAGTACTGAATATAGCAGCATCTCAGCCCTTCCTAGTCTGGACTGGTAACCACAACGTAAAGAATGGTAAATAAAAATATATTTTTCTCTCTACTGTGTACTGCGTGAAGAGTGTCATCACCAAACCAAAAGATCCGCACCAAACCGCACCAAATCCACAACAATTTGAGTTTGGTGGCAGGGGGTCAGGATCTGCAATAAGTTTGGATTCTTGAAGTAGAATCTGTTAACTTCTTTCTAGGATTAGCTTAATTTTACCTAGAGTGTCATTCGGTGTGGTTCGGTTTGGTTTCTAGTGGGGTCGGGACCAAACCGTTGCGGTTTCAGTGGCCAACTCTAGGGATCGAACTGAACGCGGGTTCGGTGCGAATTTCATGGCGAAAACCCGCAAAATCCATGTTTTAACCTAAAATAACGAGCTAGGGCTAATTAAGGCTAAATTCTAGCCTAAAACAGATTAGTCTACTCGAGATTCCTCTGTAGTAAGCTAATTTATAAGTAAAAACTATGAAAATACTCGCCTTAGCATACTTGCATGAATATATATATATAGAGTGGATTAACCTGACCATTGTACCTCAATCATAACCTGATCATCAACTGCTAGTCAGGTTAAGATATAGATTTCTGATTAACTGTTATGGCTAGGCCAGGTTAAAGCTAAAGATCTAATCTACCTGCTATTAATACTAGTCAGAAAGACTAGATTATAATAAATAGATTAATAACTACTTCATTTACTATATTCCAAAGTTTAGGACTATTCTGATTATGGAATATAGTTAGTTCTAGTCATGTTTTGCCTACTGGTTTTTGAGATTTATGAGTAACTAAAACAGTTTCAAACTGAAAAAGGCTTGATGTTCACAGGAGATTTCAAAAATTTGATGTGTGATCAGAGGGGTATTTTTGCACCATAGAAGTATATGTGATGAGTTTCACCTGTTCTTCATTTCTGGCCAATAGATTCTCTGAGCTAGGAGGAGTTAACTGCAACAAGGGGACGTGGGTTTTTTTCATGTCTGCTTGGCTGGAACTTCTTCTAGAGCCGTCGGAGTCTGTGAATTCTTTAAGTTGCGTATACTGTAGCCAATCTGCAATCTCACGGTGCCCGTTGCATGCAGCCCACTCCCCAGGGGTCCGATTGTACATCAAGTCTCTGGACCACATGTCCACGGCGTCAGTTTTCAGCAACAGTTGGACCACCACCATGTGTCCTTTTGCTGCTGCCCATGACAACGGCGTTCGACCGTAAGTGGTATCTGCAAGGTCAGGGCTGACAGATTCAACGGCCAGAAGCTGCTCCACTATACTAGTATGGCCACTCTCTGAGGCGAAAGAAAGCGGAGTCCTACCGTACGCTGACATGCAGTTTGGATTAGCTAGGCCCGTCTTTAGCAGTAACCGGACAGTCGTGTCATTCCCTTGCGCACAAGCATGTGATAATGCACTTAGATAGGGCCAGGTCCCCTGACACTCGATATTCTTCGCTCCTGCGTCAATCAGGTGCTGGACTACATCCTCGTTCTCAGACTGTTTGGCAGCCCAAAGAAGGGGTGTTTGGCCATGGACTCGGTCTGTGAAGTCAAGATCAACGGCCTTTGTTTTGGTGAGAAGTTGGACCACTTGCAAATGAGCGTTTTCAGATGCACAGGACAGTGGTGAGCGGTCTTGCTTATTTCGACAGTCAGGGTCAACGCCGGGTACTCGAAGAAGCAGTCTGACAACAGCATCATGGCCCTCTCGAGCAGCTCTCAGAAGCGGTGTGTTCCCTTCCCAATCTTGAAAGGTGACATTGGCACTTGATGTCTGTAAGAGCATCTTCACTATTCTAGTGTGACCGTTCGACGCCGCATAGGCAAGCGGAGTGAGACCGCGCTGAGAGAATCCTTGTGTATAAGCACCCTTGTCCAGCAAGCACTCCACAACATCTTCATGACCATTCTCTGCCGCATATGACAGGGGTGTGCGTTTACCAATAGTACAGAGGTCTAAGTCAATGCCCTGTTGATTTAGGAGTAGCCTCACAACGCGTGTGTTTCCCTTCTCCGATGCCCATATTAGGGGTGTAGCACCCCTTTTTGTGTCCCGCCAGTTGAGTGATGTTGATCCCGCATCTAGTAGCAAATTGACCAATCGGTCGCTTCCCCCTCCTGCTGCCATTGACAATGCTGTGCGTTCTGATTCTGGTTCTCGCTCATCAAGATCGGGGACCCCAGCTTGGAGAAGCAGCTCTCCGATTGCTTCAAGGCCGAAGTAAGACGCTACCATCAGCTCTGTCGAGGGAACTTGGGCCTCTTCTTCCATTTTCCAACACACTCTGAGCCACACTTTGAGCCGCGGTGATTGTGGATCGCATAATTTCCGAGCCAGCGGCAAGAGTGATGCTTCCTTCGGGACCATGGTGTTGCGGAAGTGGATAGTCCAGTTTTCTGCCGTGTACTCTAACAAATCATATTCGCCTCTGTCGTTGATAGACTTCTTATGCTGATTGGGTCCCTCAGTTTTGTCCCTTTCTGCATCATGCTCAAATGTATCAAGCAGCAGATACGACAAGCAGATCTCCAGGAGAATCCGGTTTGACTCGATAGAGAGTAACGAATGCCTCCAATGGTCTCCTGTCTCCATACGGTGGCCCTCTTTACCAGCGAATTTCGTAGCAGATGTTGCACTACTAGTGTCGGGTAATGCGGACGGCTGAATTCGAGGGACTAAGAACTCTTTCGCTGTCTGATGAAGGAGATAGATTTTGGAGTCGATGATAGTCACAAATAAGCCACAGAGATTTCTCACCGTCGTGGCAAACCGACCCTCGGGCTCCAAATCTAATTCGCCGTGCTTCTGGAGGCGAAGATCTACGGCGAGTGCAATCCGCATCTCTTTTACCGTCAGAGGTCTGGTGGCACCGACCACGACATGAAGAAGCCTTCGAGCCTTTGCTTGGTCGGGGCTTTGGTTCAAGATTCGTTCGTAGGCATCATCAACTGTTCGTGGCAGCGTCTCGATAATTTGACGTACTTTGCCATTAGTGTAGCTGAGACTGTTCTCGATCATGTCGAATATCAGTGTCACCCAAAGATATGTTCGGTTCGGAATTAGCAAAAGCTGATCCTGGAGAAAAGACTGTTCGTGCGACTCCAATTGCAATTTTCCACCTATCGCTTCGACCCTCTTCTGAACAACTAAATTAATCTCCCGCTCGATCTTGTTCGCTTCCGTATCATCCTCGCCACTGAGGTGGATCGTGGGGAGAGAATTTTTCAGTAATTGAAACTCACGTTGCACATAGGCGTAAGGTCGGCTAGTAATTAGGAATTTCAAGGTTCCTTTGCGGCGTTCACTGCGGTACAATTTGTCAAGCGCCTGGGTCAGCTGAGGGCGATCTTCCCCTGCACATTCATCCAATGCGTCCAGGATACAGACAACTTGCTTGCTTTCGGTGGAAGTGATTTTGATTAGGATATCCCACAGGGAAGAGAATGAATTAATAAGTTGGCTGCCATCGATCGCATACCTCTCGGAGGCCCACTGGTGCACTTCACGAAGGGCGGGTCTTTGAAGAAATAATTGGCGAATAATAGCACAGAGAGCATTATTGGCGCTTTGCTGCTCGCTGGAGTCCGCCTTGAAGAAGAAGTAGCAGGTCGTTCGGTCATTCGTGGTTGGTACCACATGGTCAATAAGGTACTTGGCTAGGACTGATTTTCCGCAGCCTGGATCCGCTGATATCCATAGCAGACTGGAGGTCTCGCTCTCTTTCCACCCGGTGAACAGCGGATGAGCCGTGGACCATTCACAAGTGCCGTCAATTCGCTCCTGATTTCGGTCCTTGTGATCTTCGTAGTGGGAGGTGAACAAAGCTGCCAGAAATTTGTCCCACTTTTCTTGCTGCTTCAATTCCTTCTGTTCCAAGTTTTGTTTCAGCAGCGCGGTGTATATCTGTTTGGTGTCTTTCCGTACGCCACGAAATTGGCTTTTGTGCTCTGCCAACCCCGTGTGCAGCTTCTCCGAGTCGATGACTCGGATGAAGTTGCGACACATAGCCTCTGACTCTTTGATACCATCTACCATCTTTGCCCAGCTGTCTACTTCAAACATATCCTTGAAGACCCGCGTGACGGCATGTCTTGTCAGGTGGCAGACTGCCCTGGCTTGGAACTCTAGTACTCCGGTGTACAACTTGAGAAAAGCCGTCTCAAGGCCGGCGAAAAATTGGTCCGCCTGCTCAGGCGAAACCGCAATACTATACCTGCAGGAGAGGTAACGACGTTCCAGCACGTTGAATTGGCTGATGATCTGGGAGATGCATTCCAGTCCGCCCAGAAGGGCTTGATATTCTTGTCCTGGTTTCAGAAGAAGCTAGGAGGATTATGTCAACAAGCTGGTGTTACATATAGACAGAAAAAACTGTGTCATCTACCTTGATGATCAAAGACAGGCCGGCGCAAGCTAGTGCAACATGCGGCTCTGCTGTCGCCACAGTCGAGATCAAATCTTTGGCGCCCAAAATGTTGTTGGCGACTTCCCGCCACACGCTTTTTCCCGTCAGCCACTTTTTATCTTCTACTGCCTGGAGCTGTTTGGTCGTGAGATCAAACAACTGTTGTTGACGCAGCAGGGTGCCTCGAGCTGCTAGGGTATTATATTTAGGGTCATTAGGGTCATTAGGGTCATTAGGGTCATTAGGGTCATTAGGGTCATTAGGGTCATTAGGGTCATTAGGGTCATTAGGGTCATTA